GCTTTCGAGTTTGGCTGCCCGTGGTGAACAATTAACCGATCGCTTCGGTCAATGTTTGAGAGATAACAACATGAAGTAGGTTGATGAGCTTTTGGGGCCTGCAATGCTCACTTTGTGTTCCAGTGGATTCCTCCTTAGGCTGTGGCAAACACAGATTTGCTTTAGGGGGCCTAGGGACAGGGATTATGTGGAGGATGGGGAATAAACCATATATTGCACTTGTATTGCAATGGTAGTGGTCTTACTCACCCAGAAACTGACACCCAATCTAAATGTTAAATCGCTCCTGTTGCTTTGGTCCCGGACTCCACATGTGGACTTCACACCCGCCTGTGGCATTGCGATGGGTCTCTGCTTACATGCAACCATCGGGACAAAAGAGAAACCATGAATGCAATGCATTGTGTTTGTTTCTGACCTCATTCGATATTGTGCTTTGGTTGTCCCCTTTCATATCACTTCGACTGTCGCGCTAACCGAACTGTCTGGGAGGCCATGAGAACAATGCAAACGCACACGTGGTGCTTGCACAGGTGGACAATGTCAGCAGTGGAGAGACTTGGATAAATTATTGAGCACTGCAGCAGTCTTCACAAACTCGTATAGACTAGCTAGTGAGAGCAGTGATTTTTAAACAGAATGATCCAACCAGTTTTGATAAAATCAAATTTGATTTGAACAAAGTGAAAGACACATATCCCAAAATATTCCAACACCTGTTCCTTGTTCCACAAGCCCACCTTCTCAGGCAGTGTCAGCTGGTATGGCAATGCGAGACATCCGTGCACATGTTCAGGAGCCGGCCTCCAGAGTGAACAAGTGCTGGAGTTCTCTGTTGAATCTAGTAGTGTATAGTTGCTCTGGGAATCTCGAGCTATTATTTGTGCTTTTTGGCGCCCTTGTAGTTCTATCCCCTGGTTTGAGGAGAGGGGCGCATGTGTTCATCCAGACTCTGGGAAGCTTGGTGCAAGATCGGGGTGGAATGATGCCCGGGATTGGGGGAAATTCCATGATCTTCTTGGGGTGGAACCTTGGCCAAACTTGGATGGAGGTGTATAAACGTGCTGTGCTATGTCAGCCATGCAGTGTCAGCCCTGCCAGAGTGTTTAAGTTGCAGGTGTTAGTGTTTTCACCAAAAAAACTTTCCTAGTGTGTGTGTGTCTGTGACTGGGGTCTGCGTGTTTGTGCAGGCACAGCATATGGTGGCCGCGCCAACAAAAGATCCCAAGAACAATGGCAAAGTGAAGCTGGAACTTCAACCTGTCTTGTATCCTCACGAAATTTTACAATATTTGTATGACACCGTTGGACTTCGTATTCCAAGAGAAGATGTGCACACATATTGGACGAACGCGAGATCTTCTCGTCAGGCATGGTCTCTCGAAACGAATGCAGGTACATCCCACATCCCGGTTGGCCTGTACGGGGATGGAGCCCGCCTTAGCACAGTGTTCCAGACAGAGAACATATTTGGATTGTTCCTCAACCTGGTCTTGTTTCGGCCAGCATCTGTGCGATCCAGTCGCTTCTTGCTGTGGTCAGGGGAGAGGTCAAGGTTCTTCAAGAACAGAACGCTCAACAAAATCCTTCGCGTCCTTGTTTGGTCATTGAACCACGCATATGCTGGAGTGTTCCCATCAACAGATTACAAGGGCAACCCCATCAATGATCCTCGAAGTGGCCAGCCGCTTACAAAAACTGGAGATTGTTTTGCGGTGACAGAATTGAGAGGTGACTGGGAATTCCATGTGGTCCAGTGGAGATTCAAACACTGCTCATGGAAGACAATCACACCGTGTTTCCGGTGCCCGCGCCGCTCAAAGTCTGGCAACCCGAAAGAGCTGTACTACACAACAGACGAAACTGCTGACCCTTGCTTGCTTCAATTGATACAGTCTTTTTGACTTGTTGGGAACCACCCCGTTTCTTCTGATCAACCACTGTAGCGTAGGCCAGGGACAATGTTGCACCAGGGCACACTACTTGAATGACAAGACTGAAAAAGATTGACTTGATTTTTCCCTGTTTTCCACACCGTGATTGGAGCTCGCTGAAGGATTGGGTGAACAAAGACTTCACCAAGCAGTAATTTATGTCGCAAAGGCTACAGAGCAAGAACATCTGCCACACAGATTGTTTTAGACATCTTTGGATCTTTGGGGTCAAAGTGTGAACATGTATCTCGACACATCCAATCGCCCGAAAAAACCTCTTTCACAAAAAATGGACCCTTTTGCTTGTCCATAATAGACGAGGTACCCTTTTGCTTGTCTAGACGAGGTCCGCTGGTGCTTTTGGAAGGCTTTGAACCAAGCATGATGCGTATTTGCAGCATGCATACCCTGAATTTGGGAATTATATTTGCATGCAATGGAGGATGCCTGACACCCTCCCTTCCAGAGTAAATTTTGTAACAAGAGAAGTTGCAAATTGTTGATAGGGAAGTCCCTTTTCGAGAAGGTTCTAGGATGGTTGTTGGAAACTCAACTTCTCTTGTTTTGTTTAAAGCTTTCTTGGTGTTCTTTCCACACTGTTTGCCCACCTTTGCTTCTGGGGCGCAAACCTTTGCATCATGGTTGATCAGCCAGTGCTGCACCATCGGATTGCATGGCGCAACTCAGGAAGATCCCATGTGAGAAAGTACAACACTTTGGTCCTGGTACCTTTCAGGACCAATTGGACAGAGCGTATGCAGCCTTTAAGGCCTGGTGTTTGCAACGGTCCATTCAACATTCTCAACCTCCTTTCAAAGTGAAGATGGTCGCTCGGGTGTAGAATTAGGAACAATTTGCGTGTTTATGAAGGATTCCTTTACTGTATGGGACCTGGTCACTTGGTTCCCCTCACCAAGCCTTACCAAATTTGTTTTACTGGGAGTTGGAACACTATAAGGTAGACAAGCGAACAGGAGATGTGCTCCTAACAGTCAAAGCTTGGAATGGAAGAATCATCTCTTGAACCGAGCAGCCAAAAAGACTCACACAGAGGTACAATACAAAACCCTCACAGAGGAAGAAAAGAAACAATTTGAGCAGGCAAAGAAACGAGAGCTGAAATGCTGGATGGAAACAAGTGCAGTGGAACCATTGCTTAGGGACAAGATACATCCCGATCGTATAATGTCATCAAAATGGGTGTTAACATGGAAGGAGGATGCTAGTCAACCTTCAGGCAGGAAGCCGAAAGCCCGTTTAGTGATTCGAGGATTCCAAGATCCCGAAGTGGGTCTGGCGTCGACCGAAAGTCCAACATTATCTCGAGACGGCAGAACGCTAATCCTTCAGACAATCAGTTCATTGCATTGGAAGCTCCAATCATTTGATATCAAAACCGCATTTTTGCGGGGACGGTCGGACGAAAGGGAGTTAGCAATGCATCCGGCGCCAGAATTCATCTAAAAAAAGAACATGTGCTTCTCCTTAAGGGAAATGCATACGGTAGAGTAGATGCTCCACTTTTGTTTTACAAGGAATTTCGAAAGCACCTTGAAGCAGTTGGATTCGAAGCCCGCTAGATAATTGCCTGTTTCTCCTCAGAAACCAGACCGACAAGAGCAAGCTTGACGGAATTTTGGGGACTCATGTAGACGATGGGATTGGGGGAGGAAACCAAAGGCTTGAAAAAAGCATTCATCCAGTTAGAGAAACATCTTCCATTCGGAAACCGAGAGAATCAGAGCTTTAAGTTCACAGGACTAGTACTTGAACAAAGAGAAGATCATTCGATAAGAATAAATCAAGCCGATTATTTGCATCGAATTGAACAAATAGATGTTGCAAAGATTCGTAGGAAGGAAGCCGAAGAAAAAGTCACCGAATCAGAATTGCAGCAACTAAGAGCTCTTTGCGGAAGCTTACAATATGCTGCAGTGCATTCAAGACCGGATATAATGGCAAAAGTATCTTTCCTTCAAAAGCGCATTTGTGATGCACGTGTAAAGGATTTGATGGAGGGAAACCGAGTGTTAAAAGAAGCAAAGGAAACATCCAATACATCAATCCTAGTGCAACCAATAGCAATGGATGAAGTAACATTTGCCAGTTTCGGGGATGCAAGCTTCGCTTCAGAGAACCAGTTGAAAGCTCAACAAGGCGTGTTCATTGCAGCACGCACCAGGGAACTTGGAGCAAATAGAACATCAGAGATATCACCCATAGCCTGGCGTTCACAACAAATCAGTAGGGTAGTTCGGTCCACTTTGAGTGCAGAAGCATATGCAATGTCCTCATCCCTCGACAAATTGACTTGGGTGAGGTGTATGTGGGCAGTGATAAAGAATGGAAATTTCCGATGGCAAACTCCGGAAAGGTCACTTCAAGGAGAACCAAAAGCCTTATTGATCACAGATTGCAAGAGCTTGTATGATTTAGTAACAAAGATGGCAGCACCAAATTGCCAAGAATGGCGAACAACGGTCGAGGTAATCATGTTGATCAAACAGCAGTCAGCCGATATAGCTGAATGTAGATGGATATCGACAGCTATTATGTTGGCAGGTTGCCTGACAAAACCTATGGACTCAGCCTTCTTGAGACGAGTGTTGTCACTAGGAAAATTCCGAATATACGACGAAGACAGCTCTTTGAAAACCAGCCCGAACAGGAAGTTTAGTTCAAGATGGATAGAATCATTCCAAGATCCCTCACATTCGAAAAGAAAAGATAACGAATGTGAATCGATATGACCAAGGAAGCTGACCTTCGAATGTTCGATCGACCAAACCAAATGGGTTTGGCTCAAGGCCAAGGATCAGGACAGGTGGAACAGCGAGGAAAAGAAGCCGTTGAACGCGGGGGACCGCTAGGTGTTGATTAGGTGGTTGTGTAGGAGCCCATAGGTAGATTTGTTTGGAAGTTTGGGGCGAGGAAGCTACCATTGTAACTTGGATTGAATCCAGTTACACATACATATATATATATATCTATATATAGGCAAGCAAGTGTGTCACGGAGTGCCATGGAGGTGGAGCATTTGGTAGGGAAAGATGCGGCGACACCCCAGGAAGGCACTGATGCACTCAAGAATGCGATGCTGGCCAGTCTTCGAGATGATCCACCACAAGGCTTTGATCCAGTCGTGGAGTGCTGGTGTCATCTGGTGTCGGATCCACATCGTCAATAGCCCGGGCATTTGTAGAATCTTGCGTGATCAATTAGAAAGCTGCTAGGCGCTGCCACACATTCAAACACTCAGACGCGTGGTGGAGGAGCCTTGCAGGGCACAGTGGCACAGTGGTCAGAGTTGGGTTCGATGCAGCATTGTGGATGTGTGTAGGAGTGGAAGAGTTGGCGGGGGCTTTGGAGGAGCGACGCTTTGTAGACTTAGTGACTTGGTTTTCCCTTGCGCGTTGCCTGGGATTGCGCTGTCTGTTTGGGCCGAAGGGCATTCAAGCACCGTCATGCAAATTTGAAGGAACAGCCTCCAGCCCAGGAGGTCAAGTCGCAGATCGACTCCAAGATTGGATCCAAAATTGGCACTTGACTCAGAACCAACAAGTTGGCCAAAGAAGTGACAAGTCTCAGCCAATTCCTTGCTTCAGGTGAAGTTATGGATGCCGTTAGATCCTCGATCTCCTCGCACGGGCAGAAGCTTTCGGCTGAAGTGGAGGACATCAGGTCGCAGGTGCCGCTGGAGATATACACCTAGTTTGTCTTTGCAGGGTGTTTTCCGCCCTCGCCCTCTCCCTCTCCCTCTTTTTACCGTGCTGGCTACATACTGTATCTACAATATACACGGTATAAAGTATGCAGCTTTCAATTGACTGTCACTTTTTCTTACTTTCTCCTGCTCTCCGCCTTTTTCAAACTCGTGGCCAGCGGCAGAGCTGCAAAGAAGATTCGGCACTGTATAACTTTATGTGAATGTTGAAGGGTGATAAGATACTTCGAAGACTTCAGCCAGCTGTTCTTGAACATACTGAGAGTCGGAAGTTTGAGGACACACTTGGACACACCTTTGCACTTTTGAGATTGCCCGTTGTCCTTCGTCCCATCCCGTGTGACGAGGTGGTGAAGCTTGAAGGGCAAAGCTCTAAAGCTGCGAAGTTGCAGGAGTGACCAGAAGATGCGAGAAGTTTAATGCGTGGCAAGCTAGCAGCTAGAAGAAGCTAGAAATTCCACCACCACCACCAACACAACATGCTAAACATGCACTGGCACGATTGCATTAGCAAAGATTGATGCACCTCTCTTGGCTGTGAGTCCCATCGAGGTGATGCTGGAACACGGTAGTCGTATAAATTCATAATAAGCGCCCAAGTTTATCATTGTCATTGATCGGGAGAAGTGACTAAGTGATGAAAGAAGACCAAGCAGGGGGCCTGGGCCGGGAGCCATGCATTTCTTAGAAAGACTTTGTGACTGAGCCCTTGCAGGATGCACACTTTTCCGAAGCAGAGGCACAGGCTGGCGAGAGCCGCAGCTTGAAGCGGGAAGCGTATTGGAAGTGTGTGAAAAGCACCGCTTTGAGTTTCAAGATGTAACTCAAGCCACTGACACGACGCGACATGTCAGTATCCTTCAGGTTGTCACCTTCCCTGGCCATATGGCCCTAACCACCTAAGCGGTGGGAGCTGCAGCCTAGAGCAATGGCGAAAAAGGGAGCATAGACTCCGAGAGCTGTGTTCCAAGCAACTTCGACTGTCTTTGGAAACCACATGGGCCTTTTAGCTACCTCTGTCCAAGTGACATTGGTAGCGGAGCGGTCATCCACGGACCGCTCCCTGCCACTCCGCACTACAACTACAACCACCACACCTTCCAGGTTCACTCCAACCTCCTCGGTAACTGCACCCACAACCTAAGCTTCTTCTTCACGCTCAGGAGCAGTGCTTCTTGACGAGCTCTACCTCCTTGTTGAGCGCTACCCCTTGGAGCTTGGCCTAGCTGGTGAGCACCTTCTACCCCACCTACCTGGCTGAGTATGTCATCAGAAAAGAAAGTCGAGCTTGACAATCATTCAGCTCGCGACAGTTTCATCCCGCTCTTCGATGGATCCCTAACGGGATATCGGGAATGGCGGAAGAGGATCACCATCTACTACAAGAAAATGTCCTTGTCCAAGAGACAAGGAGAGGCCATCCTGAATCTGCTGGGCAGTTTGTCCGGTACCGCTTGGAAGCTTTGCGAGGACTTCAACATCGACAAAGCTGAAGATCCCGAGGCGCTGAGTCAGATCCTGAAGATCCTCGACGGCTCCTTTCAGTATGACTCCAATGTGGAGATGCCGGCTGACTTCTCGGCTTACTTCGAGAACCTTGCTCGCAAGCCCGGTCAAACCCTCTTGAACTTCGTGACCGACCACGATGACCGGCTGAAGCAAATTGAGAAACATGGAGTTCGCCTTCCTACTCAAGTTCAAGGATGGTTCCTTTTGGCAAAAGCCTCACTGACCCGCGAACAACGGCAGATGATCATGACACAAGCTGCCTCCTTGGAACGCCCAAAGGTTCAGCAAGCGATGTTCGCTATCCTGTGTCAGGACTACAAAGGAGGAGGAAATCTTCTTCGCGATCGATGGAATCGCTCCAATTCCGGGAAAGGCCGGTCCTACTTCGCCGGCGATGATGAGAGTACACAAGATTCGGGCGAAGAAGACACCTACTATGAGGAGGACGACGCCTACTACATGAACGAAGAAGAGACAATGGACGACACCTGGTGGGAAACTTTTGATGCAGATGCTGCCTACTACCAGGAGGACTATGAGGAACCAGAGCTCGAGTTCGACCCCGGTGAGTACGATGAAGCATACGCATCATATGTTGATGCCCGAAAGCGCTTCAATGACCTCAAACTGAGCAGGGGCTTCCTCCCAGTGGTTGCACTACAGGATGCATCATCCTCGAGCTCTAGGTTTTTTCAGAGGCCCTTCAAGGGCTTGGGAAAAGGGAAGAAAGGAAAAGGAAAAGGCAAGAGCGCCACCTATCGCTACGACAAAGCTCCTGCCAAGCAACCAGATCCGAAAGGAAGAGGCCGTGCTGCCTTAACTGTCGCATGCATGCGCTGCGGTTCAACCTCTCACAAGACGGCGCAATGCACTCAGCAGGCAACTCCGAAGCCATCTACTACCTCTTCAGGCAAACGCCAAGCAGTGGAGAGCGTGGCCATCCTGAACGATGAGACCTCCCTGGTCATGTTGGAAGATGCTGCAGGCCACGAACGACCTGACTGTGCGATGCTGGATCCTGGAGCTTCGTCCTTCCTGATGGGATCAAAGCCACTAGTTCGCTATGTCAACCACCTCCAGCAGCTTGGTTATGACCTCACGCAACTGCAGCTCCATCGATGCCAACGAACCTTCCACTTTGGTGGTGACCATCAAAAGGTCAGTTCATGGACGGTCAAGGTCCCAGTCTATTTGAATGGACGACACGGCCTGATCCAAGGATTTGTTCTGTCTGGCGAAACGCCAATGTTGGTTGGACGCCCCGTGATCAAGGCGCTCGACATGACGATCGACTTCTCCCAGCAGAGGATCAGGTTTGGCGATGATGATTGGCAAGACGCTGTTTTTGGCCGCCATGAAGAATATTTGTTGGATCTCACGTCCACCTTTGACTCCGAGCAGTTGAGCTGGGAACCTTCCTTCGATTTGCAACTGGATGAACAGCTTGGTGACTGTGGTTCCTATGACGAGTTCCTGACTGAGGAAGCCATTTACCAAGTTGACGACCACCTCACGCCGGAGTTCACCGTGCCGCTGACCACGAAGCATTGGAAGACCTTGGCCATGCAATCTCAGGCCCAGCTGAACACTCTCAACGCCGCTGTGGACGACGCCCTCAGAGAAGACCACCATGCTCCTCCTCGTGCTCTCTGGGAAGTCTACACGGGTCGTGCAAGACTATCTCAAGTTGCTGAGGCCATCGGAATGACCGTCAAGACGTTCGGCTTCGAGACAGGATGGAACTTCGCGCTGCTGTCACACCAGCGTGCCTTCCTGGCCCTTCAAGATGAGGAGATGCCGGACGAGATCTACTTGTCCCCAAGCTGTGGTCCATGGTCCCGCACGCAGAACATCTCAGCCACCTCCGAACAGCGACAGGAGATCCTCCGGAATCTTCGAGGCTGGCATCACCGCACGCATCTGCAGTTCTGCAAGCGCGTGTACCTCAGGCAGATCACTTCTGGAAGACACAGCCACATCGAGCAGCCAACTACAGCACTCTCTTGGGAGACTTCTGCTCTTCAAGCACTACCAGGCTACAAGGCCAGACATCACCAATGCCAATACGGTGCCGTTTGCATGGACACTGATCGTCAATGGACGGCCGCCAAGAAAGATACCACCATCTTGACCTCCAAAAGGATACATGAAAGGATTTGGCACTCATCGCACAGCCTTCATGGAGGACTATCTGTCAACCAGCTTTCTGCTCTACCTTGGCTACTGCTTTGGCCAGCTTCGAGAAGCCTCAGCTGTGGGAAAATGCTTTCGCGGTCCGCAAACACTCACAGTACCTCGGCAAGATAGTTGACCTACATGCAACTGGCAAGCAGAAAGCAGAACGCACTTCGAGTTGTTCAAAAGCTCCACTGCAACTTGGGACATCCTTCAGCCCAGGCCTTGGTCGACTTGCTACATTCTCGCGGTGCCTCAACCGATGTGCTCTCCGTGGCCGAGAACTATCTCTGCAGTTCGTGCCTTCGCTACAAGAAACCCAATCAGCCGGCACCGGCGACAGTTCAGAAGGCAGATCACTTCAACCAGTCCATCCAGGCCGATGTCTTCTGGATCAGAGAAGAAGAAATGGCCCGTTCTGGCCATCTTGGACAGTGCCACCAAGTACCAGGTCGCCTGTCAAGTGCACTCAGAACAGACCAGTGGCTACATCGCAGCCTCGGAACGACATTGGATTGCACACTTTGGCACTCCTGAAGAGCTTGTCACTGATGAAGGCCGAGGCTGGCGCTCAACCTGTTCTTCTTCACTCCAGCGATTGTGCGCTTCATGGCCATGAGACCTTTGAGAAGCACCTACATCAACGAAATGTGGCAAAAACGGCAATCCTCCAAGGCGAGACAGATCGGAAGCTGAGAAGAGCCTTGTTGCGACGCTACTCTGGCGTCAACCAGCGATTGATGGCAGGCCAACGTTGCTTCTACTGGCGTGATGCTCAGCAGCATGAACTTTGCAAAATTCGTGAGCGAGGCCCAGCCAAAGTCGTTTGTGTTGAAGAAAAAGATGGAAATCCATACGCGTACTGGCTGGCACACAAGACACAGCTGATCAGAGCAGCACCTCATCATGTGCGACCAGACTTCACTGCCATCGAGGACACTGCTGTAGAGAATCTCAAGGATGCCACTCAGACACTTCATCAACTGAAGTCAAGAGGTGTCACTCGCTTCGTGGATCTCAACAAGGCCAACAAGAACGACCTATGGGATGTTGAAGAACATGAAGAAGAGATGTCTGCAGATGAAGGACCTGACTCCAAACGACGACGCATTGAGGAGGCTCCCAACGATGATGATGACATGGAGTACACGCCCTCAGAGCCTCCAGAACCATCAGAGACTACAGGCAATCCTTCCTTCCCGGCACCGGTCGCAGAACCTTCTGAGTCAACAATTCCTGGACAAATGCAGACCGAGCCTCGTGACCCTCATGAACTACCTCCTGTACCAGAACTTTCTGAGCTTGATGGACAATCCGATCAGCCAGAGCCATCTTTAGAACCAGAGCCGCCGACAGTGCCTCACACTCCAGTGCATTTGGACTCAGTGACCTCTGAGGCATTTTGACCACCTCCAGGTCCAGAAACCTTTCAACAGCAGCGACTCCGATTGGATCGACAAGAGACGCTATCCTTCGGACCTCAACGACCACGACATCATGAACAACCGAGCCCGTACCAGAAACCTCCGGGCGAAGCTGTTGAAATGGCCTTCGAAGTACAAGATCTGGATCAATCACGACTGCCATCTGGCTGGGTCTTCAACAAAGCCACGCGCAACCTGGAGCTGAAGCACAAGCTGGCTGATTTCTGGGAAGTCAAGGGTGGCTGTCTCATTACACATCACATCCGACCTCGTTCGAAGAAGTTTGTCCCTTCAGACCAAGCTGATCTACCTGTACCGATCGAGCACTTGGACAACATCCGGGTCACCATCTTCAGAGAACCTGGACAGGATCCTTCCTCTACCACCGATCACTTCAAGATTGAGAACGTGTTCCGGCAACACTCCAGGGTCCAAGGAAGCTCCAAAGAAGCTACCGCCAAAGTGGACAGGCTGCACCATCTTTCAGATCAAGGCCGAAACCCGACGTGAGTTGGGTATGGCTGCAACTATGTCTACAAGCCCTCCAACCTCAGTCCGGCCGATTCGTAAGGCAGCTCAGCAAGTGAAGACGCAGCGACTGCGCCACATCAAGAAGCAAAAATCTGAAATCCGCGGG